GCAACTCTAGTCCTAGATTGCCCTAAAGGAATAGGGATATCTAATGACCTTATGCTCGGCGATATATGCCAGATTTACAAGATCTTGGTGACATTGGATGGATTGAAATAAAAATAATGTGATCGCATTTTCATCTTGTCTGAATTCTAAAAAAACTCTAGTAAAACTCTATAAAATAATTTAATCCAATAAGATAACTAATCCCACTCCTTGTGTAAATTTTAAAACTGCTTAGCATATTAAAATCTGTATCACCAAGAAATTATGAAATTATGATTGCTTCTAGAATTTATGGAAACCTGGTTTGTTTTATGAATTTCCTCTCTTCCATGGAAGTTTCATTGATAAACTCAAGTTCTAGAGACTAGTTTTTCTTTATCTATTTGTCTATGACCAGACTGAATATTGCTTGAATTTGGAGTAATTAGTTTGTTGAAATAATTTAGTTGTTGGTGTTAGGGTCTGTTTGGCTAGTTAAAGCGTTTTTTATTTCTATTTTTTTACTTCTGTTATGCCTGTTATTGTACTCACTTATAGCAGGGGCAGAAGGGTCTTTTCCCTTCTTATTGCTGCCGCCCTATATATATTATAATAAAAGCTGGCGCCGCCAGCACTGTTACATTGCCAATCCCTTCTCATCTCTTCTCTTCTCCCTTCTCTCTTCTTCTCTTCTCTTCTCTTCCTCTTATTTCTGGCCGGCCACACTGTCAAGATAGTTAATACATGCATGCACTAGAGAAAGTGAGGAACCATATCAATAAGCTGTTGTGTGGGGGAGGGCTACCCCCTACTTGGAATGCTTGTGTTGTTCCAAATCCAGTTAATTTATGTTTTGACATTAAGGATGCTACTAACCTAAGACAGTGAATTTGTACACGTACATCGACCCGGCCAACCCGGCATAAATCCGGGTTAGGCCATACTGGGTTTAAATCAATTATCTGCTAATTATTTACAAGTTTCAGAGTTGGGACCTTTCTAGAATGATAGTATCTAAGAACATTCTAGAATGGTAATTAAGGGCACATTCATTAATTAGACATGTGCACAAGGGCAAAATTGAAAAAGACAGAATAGGAAGGTTCTACAAAATGGAGCCTCAAGTCACCATAAATAGGGTCCCATTAATAACCTATTAGAGAAACCATTATGGATGAGAGAGGATCCAGGTTATCTCTCTCCTCTTTCCCTCTCCTCCACCAACCTCTGCAAGCTACCACCATCTTCCTCTGAATCATCGGAGCCGGACCATCCTTGTCCTCACTCTTCACCATTGGGTTTACACTAACATTTCTCGTAGTCATGTTTAGCATGATCAAATGAAGCATATTGAGGTTGATTAATACTTTATTGGAGAAAATGAATGACTGTCTTGCTGATTTCTTAAACCAAGGAGTCCACTGGAGTTATGATAGAGACCATTCCAACCAACTTGGCCTTGACTGAAATCTAGTCTCCACTTTAGGGGGAGTGAAGAATTGGAGAATAAGAAGGGATCGGGTCTCCTACCCACAAGTTGTTCCCACATCCTTACCCATAGGACATTACAGCTGTATAGGGATTATCTCCATTGCCATTTACGGAGGGATGTTCCCAATACACAGTGGCAGTTTTATGTGGGAACAAATTCTGGGTAGCAGATTCAGAATGGAATAAGAATGCTGTAGGTTATTTTCTGTTGTGTTGTTTGGTGTACTCTTTGCAAGTTTGTGAAGTGGGCTTCCAGCCCTATGCAGTTTTTTTTCACTCTTCTTGTTTTGCTAAACAGTTTTCAGAGTATTGGAATCTTTCAAGTAACACAACATGGTAGTATTCTTTTAATGAATGTAAACTATTGAAAAATAAATTAGGCAAACTACAGTAAATTAGCCTTTTTACAAGAAGGCTGCTCACAGACTAAACTGCAACATTACAATCCCTACAATGAACTGGAACATCATCATTGTATGTTGTGGGTACCCCCAGCATCATTCCAGTCTCCCTCCATCTTCAATTTCAAATATACAAGAAAAATTATCTGGAGGCATTTCAGGTGAAGTATGGGGTTCTTTTTTTAGTATTGGGGTTTCTAACTTGCTGCTAGATATTATGTTATATTTTCTAACCATCCTCGCAACATAGATGGGCATATTACTAACCAGCATAGTAGCTTCAGATATGTGGTGATGAACATGGTGCATGGTCAATGGTAGTGAAAAATTAAATTGTCCCATCTTTGGTGTTACTTATCCATAATGCTGAGTTGAATGACTTTTCTACTATGTTCCTTCTTCACCTCTCATGATTGTCACGGTTGCCTTATAGTTGGATATCAATTTGTCTGCTTGATGTTGATAAGTGACTGATAGCTATGCAAGTTTCTTCATGTGTTGCTTTTTCTACTAATTATTTTAGGAGAAATTACATGTGAAACAAAAACCACCATATAGATATGCACTTAACTAAATATCCTTCTTTTACTTTTTATATTTTGAATATTATTTAATGGTTTTTTAATATTCTTCTCTGGAACAAATCAAATACATTATAATAGCACTGTTGAATGCTGCATGACTTTAGTCCACATTACCCATCCTGGGGTTATTTAAATTACATTGTTATATATGAATAGTATGATATTTGGGGACATAACCCTGTCTTGTGTAACAACTCTTTCATTTCCTATATACCAAATAAAGGCATGATATTCTATTGAAGTTGCACAATGAGCTGAACATTTTCTTTTATATGAAGTTCTTAGCAGTTTGTTAGTGAGAAAAGGCATGTCAAGTGGGTCATTTTGGGTAGTTATATATGTGCCAAATAATACTACTATATTTGTGGTTTTTCTTTGGGTACACATAAAAGTACTGGTGTGCATATGTACATTTATGTTTCTGGGGTATTTTTTTGGGAGTTCTGTCATTTATGAGAGAGTTGGTCCTCCATTTGAGATTGAAATTGTATAGATATTGCAAATCATTTAGTTCTTCCCAACTATGGGTTTTAGGTTCCACACAAGTTCAGATCCTATCTCTTGGATTTTGTTGTTTTGTTTTAGGGATTTTCTACTTGTTATGTTGTGGAAATCTTTTTTACTAAACATCAGCTCCATACTTGTAACTGACTTAGCACATCATAATTGGTTTAAGTACCCTCAAGTGTTCCTAGTAGAATTCAAAAGCTTGTGGTATAGATCCTGTTGTTAGATGTCAAAAATATTTGTGGAAGAATATTGCTTTAGAAAGCATTATTCTTGGTAAGGGCGCTTCTCTTTGATGTTCTGAGTTTGATTGATCAATTTTATCTTCTTGCCTGATTTATGGATTTTTATTGGTTGCATTCACTGATGGGGGCATAGGCGTTACTGATGAACCACATTATATTGTGTTACTTGTGCCTCATTCTTTTCTATTATATCTTTTTGCTGGTGGTGCCATCTACTTGCATGATTACTCTTCAAAGCAAATGTTATCAGACTACCATTCTGGGTATGGTGGTTATGACTTGTGAAGATTCTGAAAGCAGTATTCAAAATTGGTTAGAGATCTATTGATTCAATGAGAGGTAGACTTTGTTGGTTTCTTCATATTTGTTCATATTTGCCCTGGTCCTGATCGGCAGCATGATTGATTCTTGTTCTCTTTGTGCTGTTGAAGAAAACCAAGGAATAACATATTTATTCTCAGTGGAATACCAGCCATGGTAGTGCTTGTTGAGACCATCACCTTGGAAAGCCACAGTTGTCTCTCTAGGTTTTTCATCTTAAAAAGTAATACCGTATGTTGGGTTATGGTGAAGGGAAAGGCGTTCTTTCATATCTATAAATGTGTATCTTTTAGGTGTATCTGGATAGAATTGTATATTCTTGGGAGACATTTGGGTTTTTTGCTGGTTTTTCCCGGTTATGGGTTTAGGGTTATACAATGTTCTTATAATGTGCTTCTAGGTATGGGCTTTAGGAAAGAAATCCCTGGTTGTAGATCTATATTTAAAATAAAAAAAAAAAAATCTTTACAAATTTATGTTGCAGTTTGCCAAACTACACCAACTCATTCTGCTTGATGTGTTGTTTTCTTTTTACCCCTGGTTACTACTGTTTTTTCAAACCAGAAAGTTCACTTGCTGCGATGTGTTGTGACTATATCATTTTATATGGAGAAAGTGTGTTGGGAAGTCAAGAAAGAACATTTCCAAAAATTGAATGTGGAGAAAATGTGTCTGCTGGGATAGATGAATGGAAAAGCTGGAGGGGTAGGGTCAGAAATGTGGTCATTCAAAGGTACCTAGGGATGGTTCCTATAGGTGATAAATGAGAGTACAGTAAGATGGTTTGGTAAGAAGCAATCTGTTGAAAGTTGAAGGGTCTACGAAAAGGATAAAGAGAAGACCAAAAGGGCCTGGGTTGGTGTAGTAAGAAATGGTCTAAGTGCACATAATTTAACTATGCATTTGGCACTAAACAAATGGAATGGCGAACAGGATTATGTAGCTGACCCCATATAGTTGGACAGGGCTTAGATGTTATTGTTTTTGTGGTTTCTGTGGAATGCAACTCATTTAAACTTGTAGCATTCTCAGTTGGATTTTTAAGTGGTTTTTTTCTTTGATTAATTTTCTTTTTTGCATGTTGATTTCTGGTTGTGTTATTTTGTGGACTACCCTGTGGCCAAAAACTCTGAACTCTGCACTTCATATTATATTATATTGGTGCAAAACTAGCAAATCAAAGAGTATTTATTTGTCCATCTGCATTTGGTCTTGAATGGTGGGTGGGTCTGGGGCCTGATGCGAGGGCAAGATGTCAAATTATTTTCTTACAACAGTTCTTTGTCTTTATTGTGGTTGTTTTCTGCCAGAACTTTTGAATACCAATGATACGATACTGTCAACAATTATTGTCACCAAAATTTGCGCAACTGCTTATTTCCCATTTCAACATATGCTAATGATCAAATTAGTTTGTGTATGCGGAGTATGGATTCTATGTAAGCCAGCTCTGATTCTTGCCAGTTTTTCAGATGATACAGCTGTGACATCTGAAGAGGAGCTAAGCTGTGGGGAGGTTGAAGCATCAGAAAGCCAAGAATCCTGCGGGCCACGCCCTGGTGACAAAGAGCTGAAAGAAATGCTCCTGCGTAAGTACAGCGGCTATCTTAGCAGTTTGAGGAAGGAATTCTTGAAGAAGAGAAAGAAGGGGAAATTGCCGAAAGATGCAAGGATGACACTACTCGACTGGTGGAACACACACTATAGATGGCCATATCCCACGGTAATAGCTCTAGCTGATATTCTAACTTACCCAGTTGTCATGGGTCAAAGAATCGATGCACCTCTGTGTATTGACACTTTGAACCACGTGCCTTTTATTTTTTATTTTTTTCAAATTTCAGTTTTAAGACTTTTTATATATATTATTTAATGAAAAAATTTCCCAAAAACACCCCTAAACAGATGTATTGGGCACCGAAATATTTGAACCTTGCGCCCAGTCATGATAGTCAATTGGCACCCCTCCAAATGGGAGGTTAATGATCATTTTCGTTCAACCGCAGGCTCTCTCTGATATGGGCAGTGGGCCTCACGTCTACCCTGCGGCCTGCTCTGACCAAAAAACAAGTATTTTATATTTTCCTCTGCCATTTTGGGTTAAAACTTGCTGGAAGTAACTCTAGGGCCCCATTTGCTTTTTTGGAAGTTATTTACCAGGATAAGTGTTTTTTGGGAAATATTTATTTGAGTAAGTGTATTTGATTTACCTAGGTTCTTTATAATTCAGATAATAAATGTCTTGGTTATAAAAATGTCATTATTAAAAGGGGTAATTTTGTTTCATCCAAGTGTTCACAACTATGTAATAAAGTTACCCTCCTAGGAGATGGGTACAGGGAAATGAATTTTCCATAGACCAATTTTCCCCTCTCAAAATCCAAAAAGAGAACAGGCCTTAGGTTTTCTATATTTCCCCCTGTATCCTGTTCTTATCCCAATTATAGCTTGAATAGCAGCTTAGTTCATATAAGCCTCTCACCAATGTAAGGGGTCTGGGGAGAGACAGATGCACGCAGCCTTACCTGTGCATTTGCAGAGAGAGGCTGTTTCCAAAATTTGAACACCCTGCTCATTCGGGTCACAATGGAGCAACTCAACTGTTGCGCCAAAGCACTTTACGTTAAATTTTCAAAATACCGAGGCTTGCTTTCTAAATGTAAATTTCTCTCTCCGATGCATCTTTGGTTAAATTTTCAAAATTGCATATTGGGACAGGAAGAAGAGAAGATGAAGCTTGCGGAGATTACCGGACTTGATCAAAAGCAGATAAATAATTGGTTCATCAATCAGAGGAAGCGACACTGGAAACCATCCGAGGACATGAGGTTTGCTCTTATGGAGGGCGTCAGTGGTACAGGTGGCGTTCATTCCATGTGTTTTAACAGAGGAGGAACAGGCAATGATGTTCTTTGATTACTGTAACTTCCCCAAGTCTGCTATCCCTATTTGTTGCTAGTATCCTTTATTCTTCTTTCGCCATACATGTCTCTATATATATGTAACTTGCAAATGTATGTATCCTTAGATTTCAATGGTGCTATAACGACTCATGGGAGGATCAAAACTTCTCATGAATTTTAAATGGCACGAAGTGTAATAAGAAAGTTATTCTGCACATTTTCAAGTGTTGAAGATTGATGTCAGCTTCATCCTTAATATAATGATGATTCATAAAGCTTCTTTCTGCACTCACCGACTATGCCTTCCTTGTCACAGGAGTTTATAGCCACGCGGTGCGTCTATGATCTGCCATCTATTCGGTCGTGCACTGATCATTTCCAAGCATTATGAACGTATAATCACTCATTTTCAACTTTGAAGGTTCAATTTATGTTTATAGTTGCTGTTCTTAGGGTCTGTTTGGTTCGTAGTTAGAATTGGAATCGGAATCGGAATGGTTTATTTTTATAGTCTGTTTGATTCAGATAGGAATAGAAATGGGAATTAAAATTAGCAGGAATTAAAATTAGCAAGGAATGACTATTCCCTCAAATGGGGGAATGTCATTCCAGCAGGAATGGGAATGGGATTCCGATTCCGCCTAGGAATGGAATAGCCCATTGTAATTCCGATTCCAGAGCCTTATTCCTGCAAACCAAATGGACCCTTAATTTTATTCTTATTCAAAGTTATGCACTTCATATTTTGTTCAAGTATAAAAGGGTGAAACAAAAGCACTGAGCTTCATATTATACTTGCAAATAGGATGTCAATTGGACTGGATTTGGTCCAATCCGATCTAGTCCAATGTGAATCTATTATAAATTGACCAGGTCTAATCCAATCCAATGAATGTTTTTAGACCAATTTGGATCGATCCAATTCAATGTCTGGACCATCCAGTTTATTCAAATTCATTTTGATTTAGATTGATTTCAACCCAAACTCGGTCCATTGACACATATACTCTCATCTTATATCAATGGACCAGATATTGGCTTAATCCAATTCAATCTAATAAATATTTTGGACTGAATTGATCCAATATAATATGCTTTGTTGGTCCATCCAATCCGTCTAAATTGATTTTGGACTGGATAGGGTTCAATCCAAAACCGGTCCATTGACACCCTTACTTGCAAACAGTGATGGAATACATATTGATCTTTTAGGGGAGTGTTTGACAACATAATTGATTTTATTTGTAAAAACAATTTGCCACATCAGCAAACCGAGAGATAACTTGTCAAGTCCTTTTTTTTCTCGATGACAATTGTGACTATTCACATTACAGCATCTTCCAAATGTACAGACAGTGGCCACATTAAAGAAGTTACTACTTTATTGATGGTTCACACCGGTATTTGATTTCACGGTTGTTGGTCACCATTGATTCGAATATTGTATATTTAAATTAGACCCACTGGATGAACAAGCTTTGTGAAGTAAAATTAAGGATAAAGGAGCCTTATCACATTGCTAATTTACAATAATGTTGACTTCTGATGTTTATATTAATAAAATAATCATTTTATTTATACAACTAATATTATTTTTTTAAAAGCCTTATAATTTAACTAATATGGTCATATCTAGCAAATATTCATAATTACAATTTTAATTATAATTTGTTAAGGTTCAGTTTACTTGGCATTAATCACGTAAAATTTAGGAATAATTACTTATATATACTTTGAGATTTGAGGAAACTACTTAGTTTCAAAAAACTACTTACATATGCCTTGTTGAGCTTTCCAATGTTCAAAAAACTACTTAGTTTCAAAAAGCCAAATCTTATGCTGATGTCTGTTATTGGTGGTACAATCCATCTGCGGCAGGAACCATATATACTGAGGTACCATTTGGTTCACGGTTGATATCAGAATCGGAAATCCCTGGTCTCCAAATGGGAATCACATCGCCTATTCCCCCTTGTTTTGTTCAAACAGAAATTGGATTCATATTCCATAAGACATGCATGACTCCCAAGTTGGGTAAAGAGAAATAGGGTTTGGGGGGCTTTTTAGTCATTGTATTTTTCCAGCTGGAATGAAATTYTCATTCCCTTGGCCAAGGTGAGGGGAATCCCATTCTGCCCAGTGATTCTAAATCGGATTCCACAAACCAAACCAAACCAAACCCCTTTAATCTTTTTGATTAGTTAATGATGGCTTCAATTATCAAAAAAGAATATAGAATTTGACAAGATCTTTGGWAATTTCAAACACGGCTTGTATACTCTTCAAATTTATTATTATGTTCACGTAATTTCAAATCAACTTTGTATTGTAGAAATTGTGGGACATGAGACGAAATACAATACAGGGACTAGTTTTCAACCCCTTCAGAAGATCTGAGTTTCTGTGCTGCATAAATCCCTAGACCCACCAGCACAGCAATGGTTATGRTAACACTGAAAGCCACGCGCCTTGGCTTCTTCAACACAGAAGCAAGACCAGTAGCGGATGCTGCACTGTCGTCCTTGCTTCCAATCACAGTCTGGGCACCAACAGATTCACCACCAGCTACATTTGCTTCTTTCTTAGCATCATCTGTTACGTTGCCTTGATTGTTCTTCTCTTCTGACACTTCTTTAGCGCTATCAGCTACTTGTTCCTTGTCATTCCTGGATTTTGGACTCGCTACCGATTGTTGTGTTGTAGCTGGTGGAGGATCCTGAGTTACTACTGCCTTTGGCAATATAAGACTAAGACGATTACCTGTAAATTTGGCATGAATTCTTTCTGCACTGCAATTCTTTGGAATAGCAAAAGTATTCTCAAAACGTCTCCATTTGTCATCACCAAGGGGACGTTCTCCACTGACCCTCAAG